TATTAAGGATCCACGTTGAAGAAATTGGGAGGCAGTATATAACAGCAGTTAACAGCACACAGTTAGGTTTAAATTCTGGCCACGTGACCTTGGGCTAATCGCTTAACCTCTCTGAACTTCATCTGCAGGGGATACGAATACAATTTCACAGGTTGTCACAAGATAAAATATGAAAGCATTTACTTAGCACAGTGCCTGGAACATGGTAAGACCCGATGAACTGTAGCGATGATTATTATTGTCCCTAATAAAATCACAGCTAGGTCTGACAGCTTACCAGAAGTTTTCATGTAAGGCCATTCACTATCAGTAGGACTTGGTTTAATTTTTCTTTTATTTCCTTCTCTTTTCCTTCCTTCCTTTCCTTTTTTCCTCTTCCTTCTTTTCTTTTTTAAAAACATTCTCTTAGCCTAGAGTTACCTTTTGTAGAAAACAGAAATAAAAGGGTTAGATTCTATTGTGTTTTAACAAAAAAAGACTCATTTCAAGGAACCCAACTGGAAGTGGCAAATGCAGAATTGATTTTTTAAAAAAATTTAAATCTAGAAGTTTCCTCTATGCCTGGGAAGCAGCAAGAGGTTTGGCAGTCTAACTGCTTTCCAGAAAGCCAGAGAGGCCTTGGCCTGACTCACCGTTGCCCTGGCAACAGTAGGGCCTAGAGGCCTCGTCCCTGATCCCTTAATCTGAGGAGTCGCTACCACATTGCCTCAGGAAAGGTCCCCACAGACACCTGGCTGGTTAAAGCTACCCTGATTAACAGGAGGGACAAGGAAAAGATGGAGGTGTGGCTCTCTCTGCAAAGATATCCACCTACAGGTTTCTGAGATGGCCTCAGCTTGCCAGAGCCCCAAAGGCTAAGTCTAGAGAATTAGGCCAGAGTCTCCACCAGATTCTAAGGGCCCTCAAGGCAGTAGATGGTTTCCTAATCCTTTTGTTTCTTCCAGGAGCCCAGGACAATGCATTGCACAAGTGGTGCTTAATACATACTGGGGAGGCGGAGGGTGGGGGGGGAGGGTCGCTTGTATGACAATGAGCATCCCCTAAGGTGCCAGACCCAAGCCCTGCTCCCTTCGCTGCCCCCCACCTGAGTGAGCGAGCACAGACTACCTGCTCCTCTCCATCTGAATTTCTCCAGCTGTAAAACGATAGGTTCAACACAGGGGCCTTTACTGCGTCTCTTACTACATTAATAATTTTGGCAAATATATGGCACAAAGCACATTCTGCTTGATGTATTCTGTTTTCCCTAATTTCGTCTTAAATTTTAAAATCGAAGGATAAAATGGAATAATTGGAAAGAGGCGCTGGCTTTCTCTTTTTCAATAACAATTCAGGTTCCAAGGAAAGAACTCTGCGGTCAAGTGCGTGGGCTTTGGAGTCACAGAGACTCGAGTTCAAATCCTGACTCCACTAACTCGGTGCTGCGTGACTTTGGGCCGACTTAACCTCTCTGAGCCTCACGCCCTTCACCCATAAAATGAGTAAAATGATGCATACAGCAGAGTGATGAGGTGATATATGCAAAGTCTTCAAAAGGAAGACGCATTCAATAAATGACAATTTTTCTTTCTGGTACACAGCTCCATGGGGCCGATGACAATGGGCAAGTTAGGAATTTGAAAGTCTTGCTTTCTAATTAAATGAAGTGCACCCTAAGAAAGCACTGTAAAAGCACACCAGACACCCAGCAAGCAGGGGCTCCACCCCGCTACTAACTCGAGCGTGTGGCTCAGAGGTGACTTTTAAACCCGTCTGCTCTGACATCACGACCAAGTGTAGCTGCCTGTGTGGTTGGATTTGAACTCCTTCACACCAAATAATTTTCTGCTTCTGTTGGCTGGGGAAATTTCCTTCTCAGAGATTTTTTTTTTTTTTTTTAAATATACCACCAGCCCATGACCTACCTGAACTTCTCCTTTTACTAAGTTAAGCCATCATTAGCTAAAAGCTAATAATGAAATTAGCCAACTTAATCTGAGGGCTCTGCAGGTGCCAGCGTCTTTGCTATGTATTTATGTTATATGTTATTTAAGCTTCAGAACAATGGAAACTTTATCATCCCCGTTGAACAGGTGAGGAAATTGATATTCTGTTAATTAACTTGTACAAGGCCACACAGCTATCAAGTTTAAATCCACATCTGTTCGACTCCAGTGTCTGTCTACGCTTTGATGAGAATCCCCTGTAGATGTTGGCCTTGGACTGCTACAGAGGTTATGGAAGATGGAAAGTGAGAAGCACGATGGGGTCTAGGAGTTGGGATGAGAGGAGAGATGACTGGAGTGGAGGGTGCTGGGCTCCTCGAAGGAAGAGGCATGAAGATGGGGGGCAGAGCCAAGGAAGGGGAAGGAGGAGTACAGAGCCCCTTTACAGTCCAGCTCCGTATAAGAAGTACCAGCCCTTGACTATATTGCATCCTTTAGAAACCAGATGCCTGGGGGAAAAAATGCTCAGACCCCCAAGGCGCTCTGAGGATGCCCCAGTAACGCACAACAAATGAAGTTGCTGAGTTTCTATCTTGGATTTCACCCTAAACTACTGTGGTCCACCGCTCAAGTCGGAACATCTCAGGACTAGAACCGTAAATCCCGGGACTAGTCAAGATTTGGAGCGGCGATGGCTCTCCACCAAATATCTCCAAAACATCTCTGCTAACATCCCTTAGCAACTGCAAACACTCCAGAGTTCAAAAGAGCCATTTCCTCCGTCATCCCATCAACCGTCATCCCATCAACCGCCAGCCACTAGTTCCTTTATCTGTGGCACCTCCATCGAACAGGTCTGTTTCTCCCGTACGTCTGACAGTGATAAGTTTCCTTCTCCTTCAGGTTCAGCCTCTTATTCCCTATGTGCATCCGTTCCCTCTCCTGCTCAGCAGTCTCAATGGTTTCTCACACAGATCAAATTCCAACTCCATCTTGAAGTCTTAGATCGAAGACTCCCTCTGCACCCCCAGTCTACTCCAAGCCAAACTTCGATCCTGTTTTCTCTCCACAAGCCCTCTCCAAAATCAATCACTGCTCCGGAATCAACTGGAGCCCACTTTCCACGCTTCTGCCTTAAAGGACACCCCACCAAAAGGCCTGCATTTTTTTCATCTGTGGACTCCTCCCAGCCCACAGAGGCACCTGGAATTCCACCTCCACCGAGAAGCTGTCCTGACTTCTCCAGGCTCCTCCTCCTCCAGTCGGCAGAGCAACTGCTAGCTTCCGCAAACCTGGCACTCAGTGTTTACTGTTCACGAATGGAACTCCTTGCTTCTGGGGAATCACTCTACTCTCCAGCTGCTTCTGGAGATCAGGGCCGAGACTGGGGGCCTCTCCATCCCATCACGCCAGCCCGGGCCTCTGCCCCCGACTCGGGCCGCCTGCCCTGATGTCCTACCATCCTTTCGGAAATGTTCAGTGTAGAGAAGTCATATCCTTTTAAATGTGGGCTCTTGGGTATGACTTCCCCTCTCTGAGCCTCAGTTTACGCATCTTTATCAGGAGAGGAGGGGTTGATGACCTCTGTGGTCCCTCAGTCGAGAATGGAGCACCTCCCCGCTCTCACTCCCTTTTCCGCACATCCTTTAGTGTCTTGTCCCTTCCTCACCACCCCAGACTCACGACTTAGTCTGCCTGCCTTCAGCAGTTCCTGTCTCTCAGGCCAGTCTCTCTGCCTTGAGCAGAAGTCTGGCCTTCCCAGCTCTCCTGGCTGAGCTGGGCACTCTGCTAGCCTCCACGAACCGACTCCTCGAATGGCCGGAATTCTCTCTGGGCCACCGCCAGGCCCAGGAGCAGAGCAAGAGTCAATCGCTCTGTGGGCAACGTAATATGCCCACGTTGTCTCTAGGCCTCAATGGATGGCAATGAGAAATGAATACCTCGTGAAACCAGGGTACATTCGTGCATTTAACAGATAAAGAGTCGCTTTGGTGCAACATACAAATAACAAGTAGAAAATGTTCTGAATGGTGCCTTTTGTGGTTTCCCCAAAGACTGGCACCAGGGGCCTCTGCATCCCTTCCTGATACCTTCTCCTCGCCACCCCTCCACCAGCCACATTTCAAGCTGGGCAGGAAGGCTGCTTGGTCCCGAGGGACGCGCCCAGCGTTTGCTGTAGGACCGTCTTTCCGGCCCATTCCAGATCTGTCGCTCTTCCTGCCTCCCTCCTGAATGCCCACTGTCCTCCGACATCAAGGTGCCAGGAGCTTCCACCCTTCCTTAAGCTCATTCACTATTTCAAGCTCCTCATCCTCTTTTCGATTTCATAATCGGTGGGATCTGCGTCCCCTTCACCACCCAATACAAGGAATAAGCACATAAATGAGACAACAGCACCTTTCAGCTGACACTAGGCACACGTCCCTTGGACACCTTCTCAACCCCTCCCCTTCAAAACCAAACAAAAACGGCAAACAGGAAACGCTCGTCTTTTAAAAATTACTCTATTATTATCAAATAGAACCACAGTATCCAAAAGGTAATTATAAAGTTCTATCCCCAACTAAGTGGCCCTGCACCAACCCTCCGAGTGGCCGGCGGCCGAATCACTCCCCCCGTGCTGATTGGTTTCATCCATTTTATTGTCAAGGAAATTAACAGCCCGAAAGGGTTCCCCAGGTTTGCGTTCTCCCGCCCTGGGGCCCCGGGTAAACACGGCAGCAAGCGACCTGGTCTCAGGACCCCCGTGTCCTTGGGAGAAGGGATGAAAGGAGAAGAGGGCTCACAGCAAAGGGGCTGGGGACCCCGCCCGCTGGGCTCGGGCCCCGCGGCAGCCAGGCATCTGCCCAGGGGCGGGCTGGGCCGCGCACCTGGCGGCACACCCGGCCTGGCGGCCGCGCGGGGGCGCGCTCACTCGCCCGTGTGTGTCCGCAGGTGGTACTTGAGCGACTGCTTATAGCGGAAGCACTTGGCACAGTGCGTGCAGGGGTAGGGCCGCTCGCCCGTGTGCGCGCGCTGGTGCTCCAGCAGGTGGTGCTTCTGCGTGAAGCGCTTGCCGCACTCGGCGCAGTGATACGGCCGCTCGCCGGTGTGGATGCGCCGGTGCTCCAGCAGGTGGTGCTTGCGGATGAAGCTCTTGCCGCATTCGGGGCAGGCGTGCGGGCGCTCGCGCGAGTGCACGCGGCAGTGGTTGGTGAGCTTGGACTTCTCGCTGAAGCTCTTCTCGCATTCGGGGCACTTGAAAGGCCGCTCGCCCGTGTGAGTCCGCTGATGGCGCAGCAGGTGCGACGGGCGGCTGAAGCTCTTGCCGCACAGGCTGCAGATGAAGGAGACCTCGTGCTTGCCCGCGTGCACGCGCTGGTGGATGACCAGGCTGATGTGCAGGCGGAAGCTCTTCTTGCACTCGGGGCACGTGTAGGGCCGCTCGCCCGTGTGTGTGATCTGGTGCTTGGTCAGGCTCGACTTGTGGCTGAAGCTGCTGTCACACTCAGGGCACTTGTAGGGCTTGGGGCCGCCGCCGCTGCCCGAGCTGGGCGACTTGGGGCGTGGCTTGAGCGCGTGCTTGGGGGCGAAGCCGGGCCCGCGCTCGGGCGACACGTAGCCGCCGCGGACGCGGTGGATGCGCTGGTGCAGCGTGAGCTGCTGCTTGTGCCGGAAGCTGATCTCGCACTCGGCGCACTCGTAGGGCCCCTCCTTGATGTGGTTGCGCTGGTGGATGATGAGGTTGATCTTCAGCCGGAAGCTCTTGCCGCATTCCATGCAGGTGAAGGGCCGCTCGCCGCGCCGGTTCCGCTGCTGCTGGCTGGAGGAGCCCCGGCTGTCGCTCGAGTGCCGGTCGCCATGGGACACGGGCGCCAGCCTCTTCACTGCGGGGTTTCCCAGCTGCAGCGGCGGGGGGCTCTCCTCGCCCTCCGGGGACAGCTCCCCGGGCAGCGGGGTCGGATACATGCTGGCCTCGTACCTGCCGGACAGCGGCCCGAGGGCCTGCAAGTGCTGCGGCAGCTCGTCCTCCTCCTCCTCGTCCTCCTCTTCCTCTTGCTCCTCGGTTTTGATCACGATCCCCTCTGCTCCAGGGACAGGGAGAGAGACAGCAAGAGGACGTTAGCTGTTGCCTAGCGGCCGAACCTGGACCAAGGTAAGCATCGCGCCAACCTCACCGAGCATCGCGTAGGTATTGTCGGCCTGAATTTCTTCCCGGGGGGCAAATACCTCTCAGCTCCCTGCCGCGGGTGGTCCTCGCCCCGCTGGGGTGGGCCTGTAACTAACGTACCCGCTCGGTTCGGGGGTGAGCCCAGGCCCTCTCTTGGGACCTTACGCGGAGGACGCAGGGAGGATTGTGGTCTCGGGATGGGAAAACGACAGTGCAGGTGCCCATTCCCCAGGCTGCCAGCAAGCGGTCACTGGCAGGATAAAAGGACACCGGCATACGGGCCCCCCGGAGGCGCCCAGGCCCAGGCGTCTGAGGTTGGCGCACTCGTGCACCTACCAGATAGCTGGGCCCATAAACGCGGCTTTTTCATTTAAGCTACTTAAGGGCTGGGTTTCTTCGGCCTGTATCAGCGGGTCTGGACCCATGGAGTTCTCAGCCTTTCCCCCTCTACGTCTCTACCTGAGCGCTGCGCGGCCCCATGGGGCTTCTTTCCTGAACTCGCTTGGAGATCTCTCTCAGGCGCCTTTACTCACCCTCCTCTCCATGTTTCCAATTCGCGCTCATCGCTTAACACTCAGCTTCAACCTCCTCTTCTAACACCTTCCTTGACCGTCCCAAACTGCAGCCCTCAACCCCTCCCCAGCTGGTGCGCCTCCCTGGGACCGAGGTGGGCGGTCCCTGCGGCATCTCGCCTGCACAGGTGGATGACTCACCTGCAGAATCGGACTCTACCATCCCTTAAGCTGGGGCCGGGGGTTTCCCCTGCCTTTCCCACATGCCCTGGTGTGCAGTGCCACCACTGCGCGCACTGACGGATGCCTTCCCCTCCTCTCCCCCTCTAATCTGACCTTTTAGGACCGAAATAAGGCTGTGGCCCACAAGAATGTAAGTCCCAGAGAAAAGGAGTGGCCTCCGACACCTGTTTGAGTTTTCTCAAGTGCCTTGTACTTATTTGGCACTCCCTAAACACAGTTAACGGGGACTCTATTTTTAGTCACCGACTTTGTGTGACGTAAGAAAGTCACTCACTTTTCTGAGACCACCTGTGAGATGAAAGATGCAATAAGTCTGCATTTGTGGAATTATTAAAAGCAAACAAATGAGAACTTTTTCAAATACTTCAAACCTGTTCTCTTTTCATATTCACCTCTTATTATAGGTTAAGTGAGCAAGACTTATCCACTTCACAGATGTGGAGCGTCCACGCCTGGAGATGTCAAGTGATGTTCCCAAGTAAATAGTCATGGACCTTTTCAGAGCCTACAATTTGGGGGGGTCATCTAGTTTACCCCCTCAACTGACAGGGAAACGGAAGCTGTGTCTGTGACCTGGTCAAGGTCTTATAAGTTTGTTAGTGACTGAAGCCAATAAAATGCAGTGTTAAAGTTAGAACATAGGTGTGCCAAGTTAGAACACAGGGGTGCCAAGTTAGAACGTAGGTGTGCCCAGCTCAGGCCGTGCCATTAGACCATGCTGCTCGGCACTGTTACAATCCTCAGCCGAAAGTCATTCAATTTTTTTTAAGAGATCGGGAAGGAGGAAGCAGCTTCAGAGGTTGGTAACAAGTTGCCCTGGGGTTTATCCTGTGTGGGGGGCTTTGGGCCCGTCAAACTCTCACCGAGCATCAATGTTGTTTTTTCTTACTGAAATAGGAATGAAACATCTGGTCCTAAAATTCAGGACTCAAAATCCCACAAAGTACTGTTTAATAATTTTCTAAGTTTCTACTAGAATCAACGGCAGATGCTCAAAGGACGATCGGGAATTTGTTATGAAGCTCTAAGTTAGCCTATACTCACAACTGGCCTTGGATCTGCCACTGCTCTTTTGTGAAAGACAATGTGGTATATTAAAAAGGTTTCTGGGATATCATGCAGTTATTTAAAAATAAGGAGTTAGATCCACATCTTTGATCAAGAAGGATGTCCATATTTTATTAGATGCAAAAAGGCAAACTGCAGAGGAATTATCTACAGATAAAATAAAAAAAAAATTTAAGTCATCAACGTAATGCTTTAAAAAACCTAAAATGGATGTGGATATATTTCTAAATAGAAATAATGTATAAATTGATATGGTTAATGACTTTTACATATAAACCAAACATCCAAACAAAAACCAAAACCCAAGTGAGTTCTATCGAATTGTCAAAGAACACACTTAATTCCGACCTTATATGTTCTTTCCAGAATATAGAAGAAAGAGCCAAAGCTCCCCAGTTCATTTGGTAAGTCTAGTACAATCTTGTTCCCAACACTAGATGAAGACGATTCAGGAAAAGTTCAGGTTCATGCACTTACGAATAGAGCTGTGAAGTTCCTGAATAAAACAGTGGCTAACTAAGTGTGTGTAAGACACCGTGATGACCAGGTAAGGCTTTTCTAGGACTCTGAGGAAGGTACAGCATCAGAAAATCGAACACAAAAGATGTCCTCGGATGAGGCCACTGCAAGCCCACTTGCCTGTTGTTCTCCTGTGGTGTACAGAATGTTGACTTTGAGGTTTTATAATTAAAAATGATGCTTAGATTGCCCCCAGAAAAAGACACTACTACTGGTCATTTTAAGAAGTGTGCTCTCCAAAGGCTAAAATCTTCATGTCAGGCAAGGCTTCTAGTGTGACACAACGATCAAGGACAATCAGGAGGAAGTTCGAGCTTTGCCACTATCTCGGGCAATTTATTTGACCATCTCTGCCTGTAAGATTGGGTCCTTGTCTGACCTTGTGCTTGGCTGTCTTACCTTCTCTAGCCAGGAGACAGATTCTTATAAACCCGGTGGCAGGAAACCTGTACCTGAGGCGGTGCTTGGGGCCGTCATACCTGTGGACCCATCAATGTCCCTACCCCCAACTGACCTGTGCAGTTTCTCTGCTGCACCAGCATCTGCTTGAGCTCGCTGAACTCGCTGGAGCCTTCCGTAGCCTCCTCCAGGGTATGTTCCTGCTCCTGCATGTCCAAGTCTGGCTGCTCTCCACACGGGTCGCCCAGCTCCGAGTCCTGGAAGCCATGCTCTTCCACCTGTCCCATCAGGGGCTCCGGGGTCTCCAGGCTCTCTGAGCCCTCATCATTGGTCTGCACCTCGATCTTAATCACAATCCCGTCGTGGGCTGAGAGAAGGCGGGAAAGGGGGGGGGAGGACAGAAGAACCCAGAACACGTTCATTTCACCTGCCCTAGAATTTACACTTCAAAATTCTTATTTTAGAGACCCTGAAGAAACATAATACTGAGTTGGCGTTGAGTAGACAAATAGAATTTTCCGGACATTTGTGCAACCTCGAATACCACCACAAACTGGAATAAGGTTAAAATAAATGCAAAATTTGTTTTCTATGACACCCTCCCATTTTAAATAGTGTTGTCAGGGTTTCTTTTAATGAGATCCTAATTCCCCTTTCCAGGTTAGGCCGGCGACGTCAAGTCTCTCGCTCCTCGCAATTCAACTGAATAAAGCAGCAGCCGATCACCTCCTCACCACACTGACGACCAGACACCCCCAAGTCCCCTCCTTGCCCACAGTGACAAGCAGGCACACATGCAAGACAGGAGCTTTTGGTTTTGATTTTTAGTTAAACGGCATCCAATTACACACATTACCACCCACCCCCCTGCTTTTTTTTTTTTAACTTGCCTATAGGTCTATAGGTCAACTTCAAATGTCATTACGCACACAGGCGTCATTTGACATAAATGAGATCAGAGCGCACGTTTCTGTTTTTCAGTTTTTTTTTTTTTTTCTCTTTTAATTTGCCTTCCCCGCCGCTTCCCCTCACTTCCTATTTCACAGTTGGGGCCTTCCCAGGTGACTCCTGTCACTAACCTAGTATTTTTTTCTATGCTTATGTTCTTCGGCCATTATTGGTCTTTAAAACATAAAATCGCCTTCTACATCGTCCTCTGTATTCCTTTTCTCAAATGTTTTGTAGAAATCCCACAACACCAATTCGACAGGGCTAGTGCCTGCCTTTTAAGAGCGGCGTGCATTCCACGTGCAGGCAGCGGCGACGCCCCAGCCGCGCCCTCACTGGATAACACTGGCTTTCTGTTCCCAGCCTTTCAACACGGTGAACAATATTGCAGTAAACGTTTGTTTGCGTCTCTGACTACAAAATCTCTATGAGAGTCCCGGGAAGGGAAATGCAAAGTCAAAAGGTGTCTGTATTTTTAACTCTGATAGATGTCATCAGACTGCTTTTCAACGAGGCTGTGACAATTCATATTTCCACCAGCCCTGAATGAGACGCCCTTTTTGTCACATCCCTGCCAGCAGCAGACACCACTGTGCTCTTCCAATTTTCCTCAGTCAGATGGGTGTAAAGTGATAATTTAAGACACTCTTAATTCCACCTCCTGACTAGGGTAATCTGAGGATCACTTATTTACTGGCCTCTTAGATTTGATCCTGTATCAACCATGTTCCGCTTGATTCGTAAGAGTCCTTTGGTCTCAGTTTTAAAGATAACCTGTTTTCTCTCATCGACATTTCAGATATTTCCCCCAGTATATCATCTGTCCACTGCCTCTGTGTTACCTTTTACCACACAACTTCCTTAAAGTTTTCATACTGTCAAATGTGTCCCTCTGTTTATGGCTCCTGGGTTTTCTGTCTCAGTTAAGAGGGTCTCCCCAGGTCCTTGATGGTTGGCATCTTGTCTCCCAGATCCTATTCCAAGGTTTTTATTCTTCGATTATTTACATTTCGGTCTTTACTCCACCTGAAATTTATTTTTGGTTTGCGCATGGTGTGAGGTAGGGGGTTCCGCTTTGTCTTCTTCCATATGAGTCAGGTTGTGCCAGCATAAACCCCCTTCCGGGCTGAAAAATCACTCTGTTAATCAAGGAAATTATAAATATAATGCATAAACATGTCCATTTATTGAGCATTTACCCAACAGATATTTATTGAGGACCAACTATGTGCCACGTGGTGTTCTAATGGCTCGAACAAAAGGGAGCTCCTGCCTCATACACCTCACACGGGACAATAAACACAACAGGGATGTCAGAGGTTACGGTAAGTGCTGGGGAAAAAGAGAAGAAACCAGGAAGCCAGTGGATAAAACCGACAGTCCCTGTTTTGTTCTTTCACCAGATCCCCTTGTCACTCCAAAGTAAAAGGGTCCAGTCTGTGAGAAAGCAGACCCTCCAGTATGCCAGTACCTATGCCGTACGACTCCGAGCTGTTCTTTGCAGTGTTTGGCAGTCCTTCAATTCCTCTCTGATTAGCCGAGGCGACCCATTCCAGAGTAAAGAGAACACAAAGCAGCTATAATGTTCCCAGGTTGCACCCCCGCTCCGCCCTGGCTTTAAATGCAGACGGTGGCTACATTCCCTCAGAACCCAGTCTCCAAAGATGTCTTCTCACTCTCCAAAGTCACCTGCGTCCTAGTCTCTACCTTAAAAAATTCATCCACATTTCTACCCTGTACTTCCTCCGGCTCTAGCTCAAGGCCGTCATCCTGACACCCCGTCTTTCCAGTCTCAGGAGAAGCAGTGTCCCTCGTCCCCTAACCCAAACCTCCACTTGCTGCCTTAATTCTGCCCATTTTTCTCTCTGGAACTGAATCCTGCTCCATCGGCTGTGCCCTTTTCTTCTCTGTCCTCAATCCCTGTCTCTGCACCAGACCCACAAACATCACTGACTCCAGTACAGAAAAATACCTTCCCTGACTTCACCAATTCCTTGAAGTATTTTGCGTGTCTCCTCCCTAAAATAAAAATTTAAAACTGTGTACCCTTTGCACCTTTTTGAATAAACATATAAAATGCTTCAATAACTGCTAAAGGTGCAATTTCTGAAGTATTATAAATATTGATATTTTAAAATAAACTCCATCACCCTTTAACGTCACCAGTGGAATCCGAGAACCCTAGCAATTTTAAACCCACCATTATTCACTTAAAAAATACGTGAACAAGTTCTTCGATAGTTGTAATTTTTCTATCATTCCTTTCCACCTTAAACTTCTATTTCCATTCCCACTTTGCCCATAGAACTTTATCCTCATAGAACGTATTTTTATGCCCAGAAGCCTTTGACTGGTCACCTCACCTACCATTCTACCACAAAAGTGTGTAAACTGGAAGATTAATTTTGCTTTCATTTCTAATAGCCACAGGTCTCTCTAAGTATTCCCCCCATTAGATTATCCTTAGTTATTATTACTGTAGAATGATAAACAGTTATTCAAGACAGAAAAGAAAAAAGTTGTTGGGAGTGCATCTCTTACAGGGATGGGTAGAGATTTTTCCCAATTGGTTCACTTATCTGAGAATGAATATTCTCATTGTTTGAGTGAGACAGAGTTCAGAATAAAACCAATTCCTATTTTGTGTTTTTATAAACAAGCATCAGGGAAAGCTCATTTATATTGACATGTGACAGTTGGCAGGGGCTTTGTTATGGAACCGGCACTCGATTCTTTGAACTTCTGAATTATAATGCTATGAAAGCGCATGGTTAACATATCATCAGAAATTGTTTTCAGTGACCCATTAGCTGACAACTTAATTAGTTTCTCATTCAACTCTGTTGAAAGCAAAGTACTGCAAATGGTCTAACTTGCAAAAGAATTCACTATCCAGGCCTCAGAACAATGCACTTCCGGTTGTGTACCCCAACATTTGGGGATGTCCCTTTGTTTTGTGACCCGGGGGGCTTCCTATACTTCAAATACTCCACAATAAGGTAGGGATGGGTGGGAGGTGCCTGTTCTTTCTTTGTGGATAGTGGGGTGTGGGGGAGAGAACCAGCATCTCAGGGGCCTGCGTGCGCTGTGCCCTCTCGCCCATGAGTTTTATGAATGAGAACAGATGAGCTAAGGACCTAGAAACTGAACCTTCAACACCATCTCTTGAGTCTCTTTTGGACCCTGTACTGTCACGGGCATGGGTACCCCAGCTTGAAGAGCACTGCCTTCCAACACCTGCCCCTGCGACCAATGTCCCCCACTCCATCGAACTTCTCACAGTGCTCTCGGCTGAACACAGCTGTGCTCCCCTCTGAACCCCAAGCACTCTTCTGCTCTTCTCTACGGCATTTAATTCTTTATCCCTTGAAACGACCAGTATTTACACATTTTCGCCCCTCCCCATTTGTCAGACAGTAAGGAAGCCAGTCATTTCCCTCAGGTCTCCCCGCCCAGACGACTTCTGAAAGAGCATTGATAACCAACGTGCATTTAGAAGCAGCGATCTGTTCTCCCATTTAAAAAAGCTAATCGAGGACATATACGTTGTGAGAACACAGTTTATGACCAGAGGTCGCATTTCAAAAAGTTTTAAAAAACATGGAGTAGAGACAACCAGCTTCCTGACTAGAAGGGGGAAGAAGCCACCGTCACACATCTCACCTCAGAGTACATGACCGGTGAGTCAGAAATTTAAACATAGATAATAAAGTCACACTAGTATTAGAAAAAAAAACCACAGCCTTTTTTCTCTTTTCTTTCTTTTTTCTTCTTTCAACTTCGAACGAGGAACAGGCTATTCCTAGACCTCTGGGACTTCAGATATTCCTTCTGGAGGCTGCCTGGAGTCATTCCGAATGCATGCGATGTGCCGACCCATTGCAAGTATAATTTCTGCTGTAATTGTTTTGGGAATAATTTTGGTAGTTTTGCCTTGATATTGTTTGGCTATAAGAAACATATTTAATTTGTGATTGCTTTTTAATCTTTGTGATCACATTTGTTCACAAGAACTCTTGTGAGATGGGAAAAACCTGTCCATCAAATTGTTTTCAAATGTACTTAATGTTTGTGAACACTAAATTTAATAATTAATGAAGCTGATAGAATGTTATATTTGTAGACGCTAAAACATTTAATTATTTACATTTTGCAATTTCCTTTTCGTTTTCTGGAGCAAAAAAATAATTTATTTCAAGTTTCAAATATTCTTTATAGAATATTGAAAAGCTCATAGGCCCAGGGCCTTCAATCATAATGTTTACTTAATAAAATGAGCCAAGTAAGTAATTCTACACTTGACAGGAAACCCAGACACCATAAAGAAAGTCACTGGTAAATCTGAATACATAAACACTTAAGACTGATAAATTTGAACACATGAAAATGTGAAACAGCTATACGGCACTCACATAAATA